CAAAAATTAATACCTAATAAGCATAAATTCTACAAAACAATTTTTCTAAACAAATGAACACAATAAATGAAAATAAACTAACAATCTTAAAAATAAGAGATAAAGATAGAGAATTAGACACCAAGATTTATAGAGGTTCAGTCTTTCCTTTAGGATCCTATGTCCTTTCCATTAACCTCACTTGCTAAGGAGTTCAATTCACTATGTGTTGAAAGTTATAACCTAGCTTTTTAAAGTTTACGCTATCAACACCACAAACTCTTAAGGGTTATCCTCCCCCTTAAGCTTACAATCTCACAATACAAAGTTTCTAAAGTGTTTTGCAAGCTTAAAGAACCTCTACAAAGTTTCTAAAGTGTTTTGCAAGCTTAAAGAACCTCTCTAAGGTTGGGTGCTTGCTAACTTGAAGTACAAAACAATATTGATAAGAGGATTAAGAGAAAAATTGATACAACAAGGGATTTTCTTCATTTTTCTCTCTTTGAACTAATTTAAATGCTTGAAGAAGATGTTTGGTGAAGGCAATAAGTTCTCTTGACTTTTCATGCTCTTGATTTGCAGTGGAAGCCTTTATTTATATGTAAAAAGGATGAGATACCCATTGCTTACATTTAATGCTTCAAACCTATAAAATTTCAAACAAGAAAATAGTTGTTAGGGCTTTTTGAGCATTAGAGAATCGATCCCTTATGTAGGGGATTGATTAGGTCAGTGATAGAAAAGCCAATGTTTATGCATGAAACACTTACCTAATCGATCGGATAGCATACCTGATCGATCCAATGCTTAGGTGATTAATCCCCTATGTGGGAAGATCGATCCATTTTGTTGATTTTTGATCCATCTTTGCATTTTGTATAAAAAATAGATCGATCCTTTTAAGGGGGATCGATCGGTTATGTTTCAAACCCTAACTAATTGATCTTTACAAGAGGGGATCGATTGGTTCTTAATAAATTTGCACAAGTTTGGCTATTGGAAGAAAAATAGATCAATCCTTTTGGTCAGGAGATCGATCAGGTAAGGAAAGAGATCAATCTTTCCCTTTAGGGGATCAATCCCTTTTATTCAAAACATGTCTTAACCCATTTTATTTCTAGAATCTATTTTGTTTTAGTTCCTAAATGAATTTTGGCAAGATAGAAAGCTAGAAAAATGTTTAATTTAAGATTAAAAGAATTTGATTCAAGTTTGAAAAATTTTTGTTTTGTCAATTCAAAAACTTCATCAATTTAAGGCTAACAAGGTTTTTTAGCACGTTGCAATAAACACAAAAATTGTATTCCTTAGTATTCAGCTATAGATGAAACAAACTTTTTGTTTTCATCACCAATTCTTTAACTAGCCAATCTTATGTTTATAGATTATGATTAACTCTAACTTCATTGGCATGACTCTTAATTGCTAAAAAAAAGTCAATAAGGCTTGACAACCTCTCTACGAATGGTCTTAGTGTATAATTAATATACTTTCATCACATAGTATCTCAGTTTAAACATTAAGTATGGTTTAATGTCTACTCAATCTTGTTCAACTATGTCACAAATAAGCTTTAGAATAATTCTAAACTTTTATTTCACTTTAGTCAAAGATTTTTCAAGTTAATTCAATCGAGACTAGTTGAGATACTCTCTTGATCACACAAGGTGATGAATCCCATCTTGATTACTTCATACATTTTCATATGCTTAATGTTATACTTAACAATACTCGATTGGAGCATTCTTGGTTAGTTCACATAAGTAAAGTCAAAGTATAATATTCATCATCTAAGATCATAAGTAATCTCAAGTCAAAGGATCACTTATACAATATCACATTAGAATGTAGCTATAGATACTATGCAGACTGCCATATAGCATTCTCATATTAGGTAATATTCAGTGATTTTGTTCTTGTAATAAGCAACTACATGTCAGCTTTAGTTTATCCAAATTTTAACCTATGAGAACGATTGCTTGTTTCATAAGCAAAGTATAACCATGTGTTAGTCTTAACAATTTTTGTTAATGTCCTATTATTGATAAAACATCAATTACGAAAAATTTTGGAACATATAGCTTTTATGTAATAATGATCTTATAATTACAATCTCATTATAATTCCCTTGCAAAGCTTAAGTTTTATTCCGAGGAATTTATCACATAAGCTTTAACATTGAAATATATGTACAAAAACTCAATGATAAAAAAATAAGACCTTTATAAGATATCAAATATCAAAGTACTCCAAATATGACAATGTCTTAGCCAAAATATGATTCGACTTGAAGGGTAAATACCAACAATTACTTTAACATATTGAAAACCTTTCTAGCAATCATACGTTCTTTCAATAAATAAATACTTCCAATAGTCTCTAGACTAACATATAACTTTTAAGTTTCATAAAGTATTGACCAACCATTTAAAGTCGCATTAAATAAATAAATGTTGGCAAATAATAAAGTGTATAATAATTAAACATGTACTTTTTAAAAATTCAATAAGAACTAAAACTTGAATTTTACAAATTTAAAACATCAAAACAACTGGTTAGTAAAAATGTGGCAGAAGAGAAACACACAACAAATTAAATACTCAATCATAGTTTCAAGCACCTTATGCCATATCCAGAAACACTGCCTCAATTTCATGGTTTCTCAACCCTCATAACAAGTCATCCATATATGCCTCTAACATAGATAACAAAAAAATATAGACCATAAACACAATTAGAAAAAGAATTTAAAGGTAACATATATGCCTTAGATAACTGTATAACATAGAGTTATTTAGACTTGTTTTTTGTGCTTAAATGAGTTACTTTTGCTTAGTTTTTAATGAAATAATGATCTTTTTACTCTTAATGGGCTTAATTTTCTGTTTTGTAAGAAATCTTTAAAGAAAGATTGAATCTTGAATAATCTTGAAGAATCTTGAAAAACCTTGATAGTTTTTGATGAGTTTTTTATGATTCTTAATACATTGGAATGAATATTTGACTGTTCTTGGTATGTTTTTGAAGTTATTAGAATTCTTGAAAATCTTGAAATAAAAAGTGTGTAAGATCTATTCTGCCCAAGTTAAAAGAGTTAGTCTTGTTTAATCTTGGTAAAAAAATTCAAAAAATTCATGTAAGAATCAAGTAAGGCATGTTCGGCCATGATGTGGGTAGATTTGTAATTTCAAGTTGAATGCAAATCCACGATAGCTTATATAGGCACACATGCATGAGATTACTAATGGATGACGTGACAGTAAATTTTTTTCTTATTGGCCAAAAGAGATGACTTAAAGGTTTATGTGACATGATGGCTTGGTAATTTTGCTCACATTGAAAAAGACCAAGTAGCCCTTGGTTTTCCTACCTTGATTTGAAATTCCTATTTATACTTGATTGCATTTATTCTTACTTAGGGTAGAAATTGCATGAATATATAAAGGTTGAAGCTCAAATCACATTTATTCCTACTTAGGAATTACATTTATTTCTACTTAGGGTGGCATAATAAGAAACAACTGGATTTTATAATTTTCTAAGAAGATTCCAAGAAAAAAACTCAAATTACACCATGAAAGAAGAAGTCCAAAATCATACAATATGAAGAACTTTTAAAAGGTATAAAGAACATTAAAATCGAACCATCATTCTTTGCTTTAAAGAAATAAAAAATTTCTCTTTTCGCCTTTTAAAGAAGTTGCTACACATCAAAAATAGAAAAAGGCAGTAGCTACTTACCATCTAAAAGCCAAGATTCGGTCTAAGAGTTTTTTTAAAGAGTTCCACTTCTATTCAATCAAAATTAACTTCAATAAGGACTCTTTGATTCAAGAAGTTCACTTTGTTCAAACCAAGAAGTTTGCTATTTTAAAGTCCAAGACTATCCAACCTACCTTAGAATTCTTTGTCTATAAATACTTAGTTTTAGGCATTAGGAAAAGTATAGTTGGTGTGATAGACCAATCTCTATTGTTATTCATCTTCTTCTTGCTTTCTTTTAAGTTTTTATGTTCTTTAAACTTTTCTTTAGTTCAATTTCAGTTTATACAAGTTTATTTTTTTAAGTTTCCAAATTATTCCAGTTTTATTTCTAAGTTTTTCTGTTTCGTTTCTTGTTTTTGGGATAATTTCAATTGCTTTTTGGTTTATTAAGATTCAAGCTTTTCAATTCAGTTTTCTAGTTCTTGTTTACATTCAATTATGTTCACGATTCTTGTTTCAACTTAATAGCATTTTAGGCTTAAGTATTCTTTATTCATGCAATTTTATCCTTTGGTTCCTTGTTAATTTCACAATTGCATATTTAAATTCATCATAGTAGTTTCCATTTATTCACTTATGTTTGGTATTGATTTAACTTGCTGCTTCTTGATTCTATTGTATGTTCTTATGTTTATTCTAATTCAATTCAAGTTTAATTTGTTTAATTTACATGTTTTAGGGATTAACTAGGGTTACAGAAGTTTAATTAGTTTAGGTGCATGCTATTAGGTTTAATCAGTAATCCAATTAAGTTACATTAGTTGGTAAGTTAATTTTGGTAATCTTGCATGTTAATTAGTTGAATAGGTTGCTAGGTTGCTAGGTTTAAAGTTTAAAGTTTTATTTATATTAATTGCATGTTTCAGATTTAATTTCAGTTTACTTTGAATATGTTGCTTGTTTTCCATTCAATTTTTGCTTATTTTAGGTTCAACTAGTGAAATTACATAAGTTTAATTTGTATTTAATTTTGGTTAGCTTAGTTAGTTACATTCTATTTTGAGTTTAAACTATATCTTTGCATTTTTATTTGTTTGGTTAAATTGATGTTTAAGTTATTATATGTTAATTTCAATTTAAGTTTATTAATTTAGTTTTCTGCATAAGTTAACTCTCTGTTTTGATTAGTTAAGTAATTTAATTTAATTCTTGCATATTAGATTCAATTGATCTAAATAAAATTAAGATGTTATAATTTTAATACTTAGTATTACTTCTATTTACAATTTTTATATGAGAATGATCTTTACTCACTATTTGTAAATATATGTACTTGCAAATTTTCAATAAGCCTCTAACATAAAAAAGAAAAAAAATTTAACTTGAACAGCTTGATCTCATATCCATCAATCCTTACAAAATTTGCCAATGTATTATTTTGATGCTTGATTGTAAATGTCAAATGATTATCGATAAAATGTTTTTCTTCCTTACAAACAACAAAGCCAACTTTGTTTGAATAAAAAAAAAAACTAAAAATTATTCTAAAATAAACCCATTCAATCACCTTCAACCCAGAGCCCCTCAAACCATAGCCCAGTCCTATCACCGCCGAAAATCCCAAGCCCCTTATCGAACCTAGACAACCCTTTCTTCGACCATCAGACCCAAAACCAGTCCGCCCTAAAACAAAGTGAATTCCTCAAAAAGGAAGCTGTCGAAAACAGTTAAAAAAGAAATCACATACAAAAAGCATGAAAAACCACATCCCCAACGAAGAGAAACAGTACTAGAAAAAGCCAACACACAAAAAAAAAATGAAAACAGAAAGTGGGAAGGGGTTTCAGTTTTTAGGATTTTTGGATGATTTGGAGATATTTTGTAAGAAAAGGAAAGGGAGCTCATTTCTGAGTCACAAGCGGTGGCAAAACCCATGGTGGTGCATGATAGCTCATGACTGTGCAGATTTTTGGGGTGATTAGGAATGATGGAAACGAAGTGTGAGAAGAGGGTAGCAACATACCAAAATCTTAGAAGGATCAGACAGACGAGGGCGAGATTTTGGGACTTAAAAATTTTGGTTTTGATATCATATCTTGGCTTCTAGTGGTTTTTTTTTTTTTTAAAGAATTTGGAATGATATTTAAGGGTTGAAATGAGTCTGCAGTGAAAATTTACGGGCAAAATGGTACCAGCAGACAGTAATTGGTGGCTAGTTTGCTGAATCTGGGGTCTGGGAAGAGAGAGCCTTTGTTTTTTGAAAGAGACAGAAGATCTTTTTTTTTTTTTTAAGGAGGAGAAATGAAACAAAAAAAATTTTGAGTTATATAAAGTGTAAAACAAAAATCAAAAGGGTGGAGCGAGTCAACCCAACTCGAATGCCTCTTCCTCCCACATGGTTTTTTTTTTTTTTTTTTTACACTATTGAGGATATTAATAGGTTTTCAGATCATGTGGCATTGCATGGTTATTGGAAATGACACGTGTCACATATTTGCCAAAAATATAAATAAAAGAAAGGAGTAAAAGGTTCGTGATCTTGGATTTCCCTATGAAGAAACCTTGGGATTATCGTCCAACATGACTGATCATATTATGTTTTCTTATCTTTCAGAACAAAACTTCTATAGGACACCAGGTAAATATTTTCAATGAATGAATCTTTCATGTGTTTTTATGCAAATGGATGCATGCTTTATGGAGTCATTTAATCATCTATGATCTTTTGTGACTTTATCGTAGGTGGATTGATCCTCTTAAGGCCTGATTATGGTGGACCATTCTAGTTTGCAGCAACATCATCATTCTTGGGTAAATTATACAATGATTACCTTAGTCTTCTCCGTAGATTTGGTTGGAATTGTACTAATGATGGTTTTTCTTTGGAAATGTTACAGAGCTTCTCCACTTCTCAGGCAAATCTATATTTGCAATAAAGAATTATAAAAATAAAGTTTTTCAATTTTTTACTTTCTCATTCTTTTAGACATAATTATTAATTTAAAAATTTTTCATTATGTATTTTTTGAATCAAACCTTAATACGTTTTGCAGGATCTAATGGCTATTGGAATTATAGGCACCAGGACATAAATTCTTACTCAAATTTAAACTTTTTCTCTTTAACATGATTTTTGAAAATATTTATGATCTGTTTTTAATTTCCACTCCACTTTAAAAGAGTCCAATCTGTTAACAAAGTTAAAGGGTTTTTCTTTATTTTTTGGATCTGATGTTGAATTTATTGGTTGATTATTGATTGATGGGTTGTATTTTTGGTTTAAGATATTTATATTTGTTTCAGGTTTATTTTTGTTATTCTTATCAACTCCTAAGAAAGGGTGGTCTGAAAGAGGAAAATGTCATTGTCTTCATATACAATGATATTGCTTTCAATGGAGAAAACCGAATAAGACCGCGCCAAGGATTCAATAAAATTTTAATGTAAAGCTTTTCAATCTACATTTCTAATCCTCATTACCTTTCCTTTCCAGTCTTATGCCAAAAAACTAAGTGAACCAGAGGCAAGAAAACTTTTCCAGCAATTATTAGATGCAGTGGACCATTGCCATAGAAAAAGAGTATATCACAAAAATTTAAAGGTATGCGTAACATGCCAATTTTTCTTTGTCATTACCAATGCTCACAGACAAGTCATTTAAACCAAATAAGATTGTGTGTATATTTTCTACACAGCCATAAACTTGCTTTTCGATAGTCGAGGAAACTTGAAAGTAATTGATTTTGGACTGAGTGCTTTGAGGAAGGTAGACAAAGCCTTGCCATTTTCTCAAACAATTTTTCATTTGTTCTGATTAATTCCAAATGGTTCTCATGGAAATTTGGGTAAAATTCTGATAAATTATAGCCTGGAGATATGTTAACTACAGCATGCGACTCTCCGTGCTATGTAGCACCTGAGGTAAGAGACATCTCTTCTTGTTCAATTGTTGTAAACTGTCCAAATTCAATGATCTAAAACAAGAGAAACCACTTTTGAAAAATAAAAGAAGAACCAAAAGAATGGATAGAAATACAGAAAAGCTAACTGTTTTTTAAAAAGCAACTTTACCTGATTAGGCTGATGATTCATCTTTTGGTGAACAACTGCTTGCAAATAAGGGCTACAATGGGGCAGCTACGGATATTGATCTAGCGATGTCATCATTTTTGAACTACTTGCTGGCTATTTACAATTTGACGATCGCAATCTTATGGTTTTATATAATAAGGTGTGCATATGCACATAGAAACATAACCTGCATCAGGTACAATAAGTTAACCTACACTGATGTTTCCACTTCTATGAAGATATCTGGAGCACAATACACATGTCCAGCATGGTTTACAGATGTCAAAGCAAGCTGATTGCACGAATACTTTATCTAAATCCCGAAAAGGTATAACTCCAAGATAGTCAATGAGATAGAGATTTCCAAGTTGTAAACAAATAAATAATAAATAACTTCTCCTTATATTACTACAGAGGAAAACAATTCCAGAAATCATTGAAGATGCATGGTTTCAAACAGATTATACACCTTCATATAGCTATGAATATGATGAGAAAATATACTTAAATGATGTTAGCATTGCCTTCGATACAATTAAGGTAAATGCTCAAATTAGTACTAACATAAGAGTCTCATAGCTTCAAATAAGCACCTTAAATACCATACAGGAACACAACGCTAAGATGAAGATACACAAATCTTCAAATTTCATAAATGCATTTCATTTGATCGCAATGTCACATGATTTGGATTTATTAGTTCTCTTTGAAGGACAAGCAAGTCAATTAAATCAAAACCAGAATTTACATAAAAAAAGCATCCTTCGTTCATTCCAAAATTAAGTAAACCATTTTCTTCTTACGTAGAATGACAAAAGGCAGAGGACAAGGATTGGATTCAAGCATACAGTTAATGAAATAATAAAAAAAAATAAAAGTTGCTATTTTGGATGTAAGTCTGTCAGTGGGAAGGATGAATAATTTCAAGGTACAAACTACTCAAGTTCCTAATTCTTTGACGAGTGACTAATTTTGTATCTAACTTTTTATTGTTTTTCATATTCTTTTATGAAAATTCATCCAAAGTAGAAGATGATTAAATGTTGTAGATCATTTTATGACCTATCAGCTGAGGTAATTAATTGTAAGATCTCTTCCTAGAAGACAAAATATCAAAAAGCCTCACCACTTTATGTATCAATGTCAGGCAATTGAGGTTTCTCCCACAAATTATGTTGTAGAAATATCAAAATCTGCACGAGAACTAACAGTTTACAAAGAGGTATAATAATCAATTCTTTAAGTAGATTATCTTTGCTGAATGATGATTATCTTTTATACATTCAATCTTTAATTACCTTTGCTAAATAATGGTAATGGTTATCTTCGATTACAAAGAGATATGCTATAAAGTCAAAATTTCCTTTTTCTTTCTTTTTTTCTTTTCCTTTGTCTTTCTTCATTTTCTTTCTCTCCCCTTTCACTATGAATGAAGATCGCCACTAAACCCAAAAAACTCGTAAATTGGTTACCTCAACCCCGTCCCCTTTGACTACCAACGACCTAGCTTACCGGCCACTATTTGCTCCCAAATTTCACTAAAATGTTCCTCTATTTCTCCTCTTTCCTTCTATCCACATAGATTTCCCAAAAAAAACAAAACTCTTAGATCAACCTAGATCTAACTTTAAAGCCATGACTTCAACTTCCAAAAAAACTACCTTTCACTGCTTCGATTGTCTTGAAATTGTAATAAATACTTCTCTTTCTTCTATATTTCACTCCCACCTTTATAGATTCTTTAAAATCCACTTACCGTTATGAGCCACCATCAACTGCAACTGTTTATACCCAAATAACCTCCTTTTTTTTTTTTTTTCTAACTTAACTAAACACTTATTTAAAGACCTAAAAATCCCTAGAATAAAACTTTACGGCTAACTTCTAATCCGTGCTGTGCAATTGCTTCTGTGATTATTTTGTTGGTCTCATACTGCATGATTGCTGTTGATTGCTTCCATATTGATGATCATATGTGGTTATTTAGTGGGATTTTTGTTGAATTTTGTGTATTATGGCTCTATTTTTAGGCACTGAATATTTAGGCACAAACAATGGTTGTGCTCGACGATGCATAGCGGGTAAGGGTTGGCAATAGGAGTGAAAGTGGGCTTGTGATGGTCAGAGGGTGCTGAGTGTATAACCCGTGGTGTTTAGATGGGCAATGTTGATAACTTTAAGCTGGAAAGCAATATGGCAGGGAGGTTCGGTTCAAAGTGGTTTGGGTCTACGGAAATAGAATCTTTTGTTGCCTTTTTCTATTGTGCCTGTGTATTGTGACTGACTCTTGTTGGTTGAAAGACCGTAATTTGTTGTATTTATTGGTGAATCTAAGTTTGTTGAACTATGTTGTCTATGGTTTGAAATTTTGGGTGTGCGAGATCTCAGGATTTGTTTTGTACATAAAATTATAATAGAATAAAATAAGATGATATTATAAATAGGATTAAATTAAATAATATCATCTTATCTTATGTTTGATGTGTGTAAAGATTATGATAAGATAATTTATTTATTGATCAAAATTATCATTTCTCAAAGTTTTATATAATTTAAATTATTGATATAATATTTAAGGATATAACAAGACATCTAAGTTGAATCCTATTGATTAAAAATAATCCTCTCCACTTTGGGAGGATTTAATCATTTTATATCAAAAAGGTGATTAATTTTTCTTATAATTCTATCACTTTTTTTATATACAAATCATACATAACATAAAATGATTATTATTTTATAATATCTATCATCTTATGTGTCAAACATGACCTATAAGTATTAGAGAAGTTATCATCATAATCAAGTATTACATTTACACAAGGCATCACAAAATTAAATCATAGAAATAAACTAACCAATGATAACTAAACAAATTCAACATAAAATTGGATGAAATACATATTTGGAAGATTTGACAATCTAAAATATAATATGATGATACGATACAAATACAATAAGTAAAAAAATTATAAAGGTGACACAATTTAAAATTTTAGTAGTGACTATATATATGATTTTAATAAAAAATATATAATTCATATTTTTATGTCGACATAAATTGTAATATGTAATTTTCATGTAAAACATAATATGAATACATAAAATGTAATATTTTACACAATATAACTACACAAATTATCAAATCAAAAACTTGATGAAACTCAAATTCAAGATTTCAAAATTTTAAGAACTATTAAGTCATGACCTTATTGACAAAATCTTCAATTTTAGTCTTTAATTTAAATATTTTTTGAAAGAATGTTTAATTTAAATATTAGGGTCAACCTAAGGGTCCAAAGAATATTAGGTTAAATCTAATAGTAAAGAGGTCTTTTGAAGGCTTTGACGTCACTAAGATTAATTAACCACTTTGGAACCTTTGAGGCCAAATCTAATGGTCGGAACGTGAAATTAATATCATTCATTTAAATTATTAATTGCTGCCTCAATGATTTTTTTATCTATATATTACATGTAAATATTTAAAAAAAATTAGTTATTAACAAAGTTTACTTTGTCATGCATAATTTATTTATAAGAAAAGCAATTATTATCGACTGTCATAGATTAACTGTGACTGATGAAATCAAATTAATAAAAAAAAGAAGATAGAAGAAATAGATCAGAGAATGAGAAACTAGAAATAGATTAAAGAATTAGAGAGAAATAAAGAGAATAGAAGCAGAATTTTGTGATATTTTCATTCATCAATCTCATCGCGTTACAAACTGTCTTATTTAAACTACTGAAATTCCTATTTTTGCTAATTACAAAGGTTCAGTAGAATTCTAGTAACTTGACGGCTCATAATTCTTAACTAACTAAATACAATTTTGCCAAGCCAACTCCTCTAATAGTCTTGATATCGTTGCTGACCATTTTTGTCCTTTCTTGCAACCGTCTGGTGCTCATGCACGTGATCGTTTCATTTCACAACTACAGCTCCTTTCAGCTTAATTATGTCACAACCACCTTCATATCCTCCATACAATTCCATTTATTTTTGTCCCTCAATTTCACTAACCAATGTCATCACATCGACAAATATTTTGGTCGGATAAAATGTAAATTCCATTAAAAAAAAACTATTTTCGACAGAAATTATTGACAAAATATTTCTATTGTGATTTTGAAGATGCTTATTTATCGGAAACTATGTCTTTTAGTTGGCATGATTTGGTATTAG